TTTTCAATATGGAGAATAACTTGGTTTTCTGCAGTAACATTAACGGCTTACTGGCGGCTTTAAATATAAACTATAACCCAGAAGAATGGAGATTGTTTATAGACAGTTCAACATTGAGTTTAAAGGCAGTGTTATTGTATATTGGAAATATTTTACCATATCTTCCTGTAGGGTATGCAGTTCACATGAAAGAATCATATGACAATATGAAGTACCTATTGACATGCATAAAATACGATGAGCACCAATGGCATATTTGTGGCGATTTGAAAGTTGTTGCACTTTTACTTGGGCTGCAGCTAGGCTACACAAAGTTTTGCTGTTCTTTGTGTGAATGGGACAGTCGGGCAAAGGCACTTCATTACACCAGACAGAACTGGCCTGTTCGTCAATTCCTAGAGCCAGGTCAAAAAAATGTACAGCATATGCCATTACTAGATTTGAAAAAAATTTTATTACCACCACTGCGTATCAAGTTGGGCCTAATGAAAAACTTTGTCAAGGCATTAGATAGAAATGGGTCAGCTTTTCAATACCTGCGTCAGAAATTTCCAAGACTAAGTGAGGCAGAGGTTAAAGAAGGTATTTTTGTTGGGCCACAGATTCGAAATATTTTGAAAGATACACAGTTTGAAAACACTTTAACAGGTATTGAAAAAGCTGCTTGGAATGATTTCCGTCTGGTGGTCACTAATTTCTTGGGAAATAGAAAAGCTGACAACTATAAAACCCTTGTCAAAAATATGCTGTCATCGTATCAAAAGATGGGCTGTAATATGTCTCTTAAGATACATTTCCTACACTCACACCTGGACTTTTTTCCTGACAATTGCGGAGCCGTAAGTGATGAGCACGGCGAACGTTTTCATCAGGACATTTCAACAATGGAAAAAAGGTACTAGGGAAAGTGGAATCCTTCCATGCTTGCAGACTACTGTTGGACTCTTGGTAGAGATGCTCCAGAAACACTCCATAAAAGAACAGCAAAAAGACAGCGCATATAGTGATTCTTATAAGTATATGATCTTGTTACTTTTTTTAATATATCCTTAAAAATAAAAAGTTTTTTTTCTAGACCGCAACTAATTTTTTTATTTCATTGTCATTTTTGGATTCAGCGCCCCAAAATTAACAAAGAAGTGCACTTTTCCCACAAGATACAATTAAAAAACTAAAATTTGTTGTCCAGTGTTATTTCCGAGCTATGGATGTTATTTGTGTGTTGTGTATATCGCGCACCAGATAGCTGCAAGATCAATATAGGTACATTGCATCGCTGAAGCTGGTTTATTCAATAATCTGTTACCAGTAGACGTGTTGTGTGTTGATACTACTGGATCTGCAAAAAGAGTCTGATGTCACCTAGTGGCTAGGCTCGCCTTCCCTTTACTATTTCTACTAGTCTGCCTACTCGTTCTAGCATGATCACGCTTTATTCATCTAAAAATGGCTGTTATAGTTGCTCCGTTATTCTTGGGTACCGGGAGGATGACACAATATATCAGAATTATCTTTTATACCTGTCTTTACTGGTACAAAAGCTGCGGCAGTATAAAAACGTTCCACATAACATAAAAATAGGAGCACCATCAGATATTGATCTACATACATTAAATGGACTCAGCACAGTTCCTTGGGCCACTTTAATTTTGGTAATAAGTGCACATGTACAATAGGGGAAATGCAATAACATTGGAAGATATGTGAACAAAATGTTGAAACATCGTGAAAAAAGGCTAACTGCAGTATTTTTTTGCAGTAAATAAAAATAAGTTGAATGTCAATTGGAACGGAGCATGCTCTAATCAAGAGATCAGCTTTAGTAACGGTACCACTCTTACGACACGATGTGCACCGAAACAAAGAGATAAGCTGTACGATGTCAATTATTATTTATGCGGATTGATTTTACCTATTTTCTGAATATAAACATTTAATGTACTATCATCTATTTTGGGCAAAAAGACTCGAAAGTTGCCTACTTGCTAGGCTACGCCTCCCCACCACTAGTGCTACTATGATAAATTTTATGCAGAATGATTTAAAATGAAAATAAAACAGGAATATCCCATTCTCCCTGTTTAACAAATGATAAATGATTCTTTATTACGAGTAAATAACTGGATGTCAAAGTCTCCATCTATTCAGACTAACGATAAGAGAATGAAAAACACAACAGACACAGTAACCACAAAGCACAATGTCGCTCCAAACGGCTCTTCATAGCCTTCTTTACGATATTGTTATTGACGTTAGAAACATCTCACCAGGTAAAAAAAATACTACGCGATAAGATTTAATTTAATTTTCATCAAATGTGAATGCTCTCGCTGGTGAAAAAAGCTGAAGCATTTTTATATAATGTACTGGTCATTGAGATCTTATCAGCTCGAGAAGTATAAATGCTGGTGATAGACTAGAACCGAGTTTTTATTTACGACGTCGAGAGGAAACGAGTCTGATGGGTTGCCTCCTGTTATGGGTACAACTGTACATTAGAGTAAATTATTATTGTTTCAGTTTCAATTCCTTGCTTTAATTTATTCCACTCCAATCTTTTGCAATCGGAACGCATCAATATAAATGAATTAAGCAGATAGTTGCTCAATGATCAATACATCAGAGACTCGAAACTGATATCTATATACCAACAAACCTTTGTCTTTCTTGATTGTGATTTCTCCTAGATTTAGGTGGACTCGGTAGGCATCTATTGGTACGATTATTCCTTGGTTCCTCCCAGAAGAACTTATCTTTAAAACTGGATGTGCTTTTGGGTGCCTCCTATTAAATGAGATGCTTCTAAGCAGCTTCAAACGTTATCAAGTATTATTTATCGCTATCAGGCTTACTCTCTCTGCCTTTCTAGATCAGCCACACGCATTGACGTGACAGTCTGAATATTTGTATGCTAACACAAAATAATAAGAAGATTTAAGAATTTTAGGTACAAACAAAGAGTTCTCACAAGCACATTCGTAGTGCGCAAGAAACAACAACTGTTTCACTCCATTTATCTTTTATTTCCGTCTCTTATTTCTTGAATTTTGTTCATAGCTAAAATGAATAAAATAATACAGTAGTTGCAAAAATATCAAGAGGTTATATCTACACAGATATCTTTGGCATCTTTAATGTTATGGCACAAACTTGAGAATGAAGACGTATTCCATCCAACTCAAATGACCAATGAATAGATGCAAAGCAAGAGATAAAATAAATTGGATTCCACAGCGCAGATATTATCCACGCATTAGAGACTTTTAATTTAGATAGTAAACATAATAATAAAATTTGAATGATTCCAGCGATTTACCGTAAAGGCTAATAATTTTTGCGTAATCATAATTTTGCTATCAGCTGCTTTTATCCATTTATGTTTGTATGGTATAATGAATGGAGCCCCGTAAATGTCAAAACGTTCTGAATTCCACCAGAATGAGTCGTCGGTAATTTCTCGTTTCGCAATCGAAGGTAGCTCTCAGCTGGAGTGCAATTGTTTTTTGTTCAATAAAGCCGTTATGGATAGTGTACCAAATATCAGGCGTAGCACCTGCTCTTATGGGTGATGACATTAATGGAGATCACCATGATCGAACATATTTAGCGAAATTAAACGCAAAGCTCGTTGATAGATAGTGTTATTATAGTACAGTTCAGGGGCTGAATATTTTATTTCGAAGATACTGTTTTTTTTAAACGTTCGGACTGACAACTCGGTGCCAAAACTCAAGATTGCAAAAAAATATTATGATTGATCCTATTTTGCATTCAAACAAGTCAATATTCTATGGCGTGTATGTATGAGTTGACAGGATGGAGGATGATATGTAAAGCTAGAAGTAGGGGACGCTGGTTAGGCTGGAGATCATGTCTATCGCTATAATCAGATTCAGATGTAGGTGGGGCATCAGGTGTTCACATCAACAAACATAAAACGTGATAAAGTGCTGAGAAATAGGTTACCCTTCTATCAAAACTTTTTTTCTTTCGCCTACTTGTGTCCGTTTCACCAACCAAACCAGCACCGCCTAACGGGTGCAAAGTTGCCTATTGCTATGAGAACCGAAAAGGTATACAATCTACACGAAGATCAAGATAGTTCTACAATTGTATAAGTACGTAATGACGAAGGTTTGTTTGCCCTATGAACGACTTTGTGATAGTTAATGATACATTAGAGGAGGTTTATTACTTCTATTATCATTAGTCTGTTCATAAGCAGGCATTCGCATACTCCATCGTCTAGGAGCGATTAAAAACAGGTTCTTAATATACATTGAACAATTGTTTCAGAGTCGTAAAGAAGTACTTTTGCATAGTAACGAATATACAAAGGTCATCAGAATCTATCACACCTACAGTTATCATTTTAACTTATATAACCACAAGATACACATTTCCTAGAAAAACAATTGAGCTAGAACATATGTAAATGATACACGTATTTGTTATAATATTCTTATTATATCCATTTGTCAATTATTAATCAGCATTTTTTCATTGTTTTTTTGTAGACGTCAAGTTAATCTTATGTCTCGATTTTATAATAATAATATACATAATAATCATCTGAATGTTGAGGAGCTACACACAATATAAACAAACACTCAAAACAAACAACGCTGAGTCATGAGTAAGCCCGCGGAAGAAGTTAAAATTACATCGCCAAACTGGATATGCCCGTTTAGGAGACTACAAACTGATCGGTTAGAATGACACACTGCTTGGCCACTCAGTGTTGACGTTCATAATATTCAATCGTTGCTAGCAAGATGAGTTACGTATGGGTCTAGTCTAGGTCACTATGAAAAAGAGCAGGTGACTCGGTTGCAATAAGACATTATGAATAATCTAGTATAATAATTTATCTCGCTGCGACTGAGTTTGATTCCCAGAAGCTATCCCACTTCTTATAAAATTATTATAACCCCCCTCCCCCTTGGAACCTATCAGGAGATTCCAAATAGTTTACCGCGTCTACTCCGAATTGTCATTTTTCCTCTTTGTTCCAGATCACCGTATCAGTCTTCCCATGAGTGTGGTGGACACAGGCATAGCCTGGTTACGGTACCTACCTCCACTACCTCTCTCTCTTCCCCTAACCATGCGAGAAAAGGACTCCTCGCCCCGCAAAATGCTCGTGGCCACAGGTGGCCACAGTTCGCCGAAGCAAGCTGCCGTCTACCCGCTGTCTGTGCGAGTGCCTCCAGGGGACGAGATGCCATTCGATCTCTCCAGGAACACGACTCGGTAAGGGAATTTGAGGGTGCAGCGCTTAGGAGATTTTTATATAGGAGATTTATAAGCAATATCTCATTTTTTGTTGCTTTCGCTGAGGACGAATATGTCTGTTTTTGCCTTAATCATATTAGATCGATAGAAACTCTGTCACTGATTGTACATCAGTACAGTGGAAATCATACCCTATTGAATACTGTTTGGAATGATTCGTGGCTGCGGCATCTGAAGAAAGCGATCCTAACTAAGCTATCCAACCATAACTGACAATTTCTTCACAGAAAACGAAACTATTCAACCACATTGACCCACTCTATTATCAATAGAATATACTACACAACACCTCTCCTTTTCTTGACATTACTCAGATATCTCTAAGATACGTAAGTTGGTTACTTTGATAACACGTGAAGAAATGTAGTGGTCTATGCAAATTTAATTCGCTGCCATCACACTATACACCTTTTTAACCGATGTCTTTCCAATTATAACTACTCAGTGTTATCACCCAAACATTGCTATTTAGACTCTGGGCATTCAACGTTCTCTTTTTGCTGATTAATTCCTGTACACAATTCTTTCGAAATAACACTATACCTACTTAATTTTATACACCAGTATTGCTTGATATTGTTTCACCACTTTTACACTAATGAATAGCTGCAAAATCATAAAATTTCTATTTTTGAAAACAGTAGTTGGGCCGGTATTTTTTAATACTTCTAACTCTTTACAATTAACAGTGATGTTCTTAAAATTGCAAACAGTGATCTGGACATCGGTACAGAGTTGAACAATAGGGTTCCATCCTTCTGCTTTCATTACCGTTGTACCATACAAAGTGACTCCATCTCACTTATATGCTGCTCCAGCCAGCTTCATGAATACACAATGCTTCTTTGGTCGCCTTAAATTGCTCTCTTAAACACCAATACTTCCAGAATATAAGAAACTCCTAGACTGCACCCTCAGCGTTATATAATATAGTAGATCATTCTGCCTATGATTATATTTTCTCCTAAAGCAAGCAGGCACGAGCATTTAATTAATATCTTTTTCTTCCCGTACTTACTAAGTTCTGTTAACAATTCATGCAGTCGATTGACCTCCCATCTGATGGTGATACCAATTTACACCTAAATAGTTTTTGAAGCTCCTAGCATGGGGAGAAGGATATCCAACGACATGATTTGACACGAGCATACTTTATCAAAGAACCCGTTTTTCTGTTTAAGCAAATTCAAAAAATTGCAACTTCGAGGCATACTCAGTTTATACATGTTATATCGATAATTGTTGAGAAAATCCATATTTAGGTTTCCTTGGCTGGAAGTCGTTAAAATATGCTGACGTCATTATCACCTTTGTTGCGTTTGTTTCTCAATATACCTAACTCCCCTCACAACACATCTTACGTAATCTTTTTTTCCTTAAACGCTGATTTGACATTTAGATGTTATTTTGTATTGATAATTTTTAAAATAAGCCGAGATCCAAGATTTTGCCGCAACATATCGGCGTTATTCTTACCTTTGTTGTTGTTGTCTTCCAACCTGTCTACATCTCCTCGTATGACATATGACGCTTAATATTAATTTAGAGAAACGTCGCTCTAATGTTTGAGCATTGATTACTTTCATTTAAGGCCAGGCTGCCTAAGTAACTGGCAATTATGCCAAATAGACCGATGATTGGACAAATAAGTAATTTGAGGTAATAAAGAATTTCGATTGCAAGCGGAGATTTCTACTTTGTTACAAAGCTAAATCATGTAATATTCCACGCGAGGCCCTTAAAATTACATAGGTATGTTATAGCTTAAAGGTTGAGGTTTTTTGAGAATAACTTCTATTTTCATGAAGGTATAAGTCACACTTTTCACGGATGCCCCCTAGCTTTAAAACTAGAAGTTATTCTCAAAGCCTGTCAGTTATCACATAGCTGTTTAACTTTTAGGGCCTTACAGGACTCAATTCAGTCTGTTACTGTTTATCTGGGTAGGCTGGCCGTAAAGAGTATGTACCGCAGTTTTTATGTGTATGGTATGCGCTGCAATGCAAGAATCTTTGTGAATAATATTTCAGCAACCTACCGACTTACTGTGTGTACAGCCTTGGTAAAGCTCATCCTGTATCGCTACTCTCGATACTTTTCGATACCAAATGCAGTACTAGATTCTGCTTCTCATCCAAACTCCAAACTAAAACTTTGTTGCCGTGTTAAGCTAATTACATATATCTATATAAACTTGCTTGCTTTCTATAAAACATGTTCCAAGTTACAATGATGTCACAATGTCGTGTCCTTTAATCCTCAGATCACCTGGACCTCACATGTCTCCTGCAGGCCGACCCCCACAAGGACCTCAAGACAGCGAGGAGCAACCTCTGGACCTCCGCGTAGAACACAAAAAACTGTCCCTCATGATTATGCGGAGACAGGTGGAAGATGAAAATCGGAACCTTATCTCTCCTGCAGCTAGTGTTAGTAGTGACAAAGACGATGTAGTAGTGGAAGATCGAAGCAGCCCTGCTTCCTCGAACAATAACAACAACAACAATAATACTACCACGACGAACAACAATTTACCAAAAACGTTTAGCCCACAGCTACCTGGATACCCTGGAATGTTATTTCCTCCTCAACCCCTGCATCCAATGATGTTGGAGGCTATGTATCGTGCTCAAAAAGGGGAGAACTTACCAAGACTACCTATACCTTACCCTAACTCACCACCTGGGTATCCCCAGCGATATCCTTTTCTTAGTCCTTCCATGCTCAGTCCTCCTGTGAACCAAGTACCGTTCGACATTCTTCGGAACCCTTCAACTCCTCAAACTCCAAAAGTGTTTGACCCAGCCGGTGGCAAGATTAAAGACAGATACGCTTGTAAGTTCTGTGGCAAGGTCTTTCCAAGATCTGCTAACCTCACTAGGCACCTCAGAACGCACACTGGAGAACAACCTTACAAATGTAGATACTGTGAGAGATCCTTTAGTATATCGAGTAACTTACAGCGTCATGTTAGGAACATTCATAACAAGGAAAAACCATTCAAATGTCCTCTCTGTGAGAGGTGTTTCGGACAACAAACTAACTTAGATCGACATCTTAAGAAACACGAAGCAGATGGACCTACGATTTTGGATGAGCGGAATCTACAACGGAGGAATGTCAACAATCGAAACCTCAGTGAGGAATCTTATTTCGAAGAAATAAGATCCTTCATGGGCAAAGTTACGGATGGAAGGTTGCTTCAACATCTCCAACCTCCAAAGCAAATTCCTAACTTTCCCATACCTCTACCCAAGCTCTTTGACCCGAGCAAGTCTGCCCAAGAGAAGCCACTATCGCCTGAAGATAGTAAAAGGGACTCCTCATACTTCTCAGATAAAGATAACTATTCTTCAAGATCTTCAACTACGTCAGAAACATCGAATAAAGAAGAAGAAGGTGATAAAGCACAAGAGGAAACGAATGAAGGAAGTATTAAACAAGAAAGCGAAGAAGTAGAGGAGAACAATACTTGACTTCAGGTAAAATTTATTGTGATAGGTTGTGATTGTGAACTAGCTCGTAAGATTCACTTCAAAGTCACAGAAGAGATGGTGGAAGCATCAAACATTCGGGAATGATAAATGATATGTGAAAATGACTAGAAGCATCTCCTGTCATATTTTTGTTTCTTCAATCGTAGGGTTGAAAATTCTGAGGTACAATATAGAGTTACACCATTTATCGCGATGCTTTAACACATTCTGTATGTTGAATTACCTCCTTTTGTCCATTTCAGCAATTGGTACTAGTGAGTCTGATGACTAAGACAGTGATTGTTTTTTTTTATACTCCAACTACCACGAGGGCCTAAGGCCTAAACACCCATTGGGTATCGTGGGGCTATAGGGGGATACAGGGGAAAGGGGGAACGCCAGACGGACTCTGGCGAGGGAACACGTGTGCATGCAACATGCACACATTCTGGCTCCGCCTACGAGATCCGCCGGGTGGTACCTCCGCGTTCGACAGTCAGAGACCGTCTACCACCTACGGACAATCACAGCATCCATAGCCAAGAAAAAATTCTTCTGGGCCGAGACTCGAACCCGCACAGCGCACGGCGACTGATCAGGAGACCGAAGAGTCTACTACTGCGGCCACCGCTGCTGCCTGCTAAACTTGCTTCTAATTTTCTAAGTTGAAATATAGACATGACCATTAGCTGCTATTGCTGTTGCTTTATTCTGAAATTTTCTAATCACTGTATGCAAGACAACTCAAACAAAATGCTGGCTTCACTAGGAGGTATAGTAATATCACCTTGTCAGTAGACGATATGGGGTACTTTAAATGTCACAATGTAATTAGCTGTGCTTTGCTGACATGTTTTGAGGTGCTTAACTATTGTGAAAATCAGAGTACTATTTCTTGACACATGTTATTCTTGATGCTTCTACACAGATCTTCACTCAATCATCGACTAGTAAAGGAAATGAAATGGCAGACCATTCAATATTGGTAACAGTTACATTGCGTATGCACTAATAGGTACTTTACCTGATTGCTGTAATGGTTACCTTAATATTCTGAAAACGGATGTTATGCAAACTAGTACTGCCTTTTAGCTAAAAGACTTGGGAATCCTTTAAGAGCCTTTGAGAGATTGATTAGTGTTAATTGTTTGTAACCAGATGCTCGAGATTTTTTTTAATTATCGCATCGTGATGAAAGGATAACTTGTTCTAGGCAATGCAAAAATTAGTTAATGACACACTTACAGGCGATTCTGGTTTTCTAGACCAAAAGGCAAGCTTTTCATCGATGTATTATTGATTAACATTCTATTTTTTTTACAATATCAAAGTAATGGTGACTCTAAAAAGATTAGAAGTGTAAACATAAGTTAAACATGTCTTTATGTGACAATCTTGAGATGAATCCATGCCATAATTGAAGAAAATTTCAAACACTGGATTGAAATATTCCAATCTCTATTTTGAATGTGATGGTACTGAGAGTGAGCAAATCATTTTAGTTGTCACATAATGTGTTCATAATATACTGTGTAAGTACCTACTCGATTCACAAAAATACGATTACGTCATTTTGAGGATACGATAATCCTTCTGGGAGAGAGTTTGAAGCTTTAAATAGCCACTGCAATCTAAATAGACCTTAATACTTTTATATTTGCCTTTGATGATAACATTACTCGCGTGTGTGAAGATTATACCAAGACAAATAGAAACATTTTCACAGGAGGCCTATTATACATTTGCCCTTAATTCTAAATTTTTACAATAACTATCTGTGATCTTGAATTGCAACAGATTTTTCATTACTTGTAATATAGCTTTCGTTCATACGACCACAAATGGTCCACCGTGGACAGCTGTTTCGTGCTATTTGGCACCTCATCAGCATGATCTAGGCTTGGTCTTAGGTAGGACCACGTACGAACGCTACCAGCTATTCAGGATATAAGGTCTATCGGAATCACACAGCACGGTGCCATCTGTTATCAGAATCTGTTTCCACTCTCGCTGTGGTCAATTCTGGTGATAGATGGCACTCTGTGCTGTCTTATTTAGATTTTTCGTTGTTATATTGGTCATTATCGGTAATGTAGAGCGTAAAATGCTTCATATCGGCCTCTTCAGCTTTCACGATCACTTTTTATCATGTTCCTTACCTTCAACTTTAGTTAGTTACATTTAGAAAGCACCTGACAATTTCACTTGTAACAAAAATACATTTAAAATTCTATTCTGCCAATTTGCTGCTATAACACGACAACAAACAATGGACAAAAAAACTAGGGCAGAACACCTTCCTTTAATTGGGTTTTTTGTTAATCGATTTCCGAGATTCTCTTTCATCTGATGTAAGATAGGGACGTATTCAGGATTTCAATAGCGCTCAACATTCAAAAACATGGAAAAAATTGTCAAAACATATTTTTTTGTACCAAAATTATAACATGCGCATCTTTGAAAAGGTACAGCTTCATCACAGATACAGGGACTTATGTATGTTGATATTCTAAGATTGCTGAATTCATTTTTGCATAATAATGGAAACAAGTTTCAAATAAAATATTCCATGTCAACCTCAAATCATAGTTTTTGGCTAAAACCCAAAAAATCGATTACACCAGTCTATTTCGGTAGATTTTGCAGCTTCAATTTCATGTACTTATAAGTTTCTTAGGGTCATTTGGAGGTGCTATTTTAAAAAAGTCAAATAATCTAGTTTATGCACAAACATTTGAGGAGCTGGTTAGTCAGAATCAGACGTCGATGTATCAACAGCATTTCGGAAACAATAGCTAATAGAAAAATCTAAAGTATTTGATTGATACTGCGGAAAATATATGATATGATGATGAGTAGACTTATCAATATTTCCCAGCAGAAGACTCAAAATTTAACTAAAGTCCATGCTTTACAATTATGTACATGTCGACCACCGATTTAGGCGCCATTGTTGCCACCTCTTTGACGCTAGTGGCCGCAGCTTGTAGGATTTTCTGTTCTGTCGTTGAGAAAGTCTGAGAATACCAAATTTTATGAATAATTACGAGGGGTCGGAATGATATTTCCTTGGAATCACCTAGTTTCTGTAACAGGAAGTCTATTTTTATTACTCCTAATGGAATTACTGCTATTCTACTTGGCAACATGACAGAGAAGATCAAAATTGTGTCTGAATCTTCTTGGAGAATCTGTAAATCAATAGTAGTTTGATTTGCCCATCAAAATCTTCCTGAATACGGTCGTGTATACGCACAGGAGGCATTCTATAAGAAAAATGCTCGTCCAAGTGAAAAAATCTATTGGCGATAGCATCCGATGAAAGTGACTTCACTGAGCGTATAATAATTGGAAAGTGATTTTTATTACGGCTCACAAATCGAAAAAAAACTAAACAGATCGAACTTGTAAGTCAGTAGCGGTTCAGAAACTGTATACGGATGGGATGAGGCAATTTTATCTCAAAAAAGTGTTGAAACGTAAATACCTCTTCACTATACACTTCATATATTAGACAACCGTTTTCTCGGAAAATTCCATAAATTCACCACAATACATCTGATACTAAACAATCCTAAGGTTGTGTACCGCTTTCCATTTTGTGGCCTGTAGTAACTGATTTAAGTCAACCGAATTCAGATTCGTTTGTCTACGTTTGTGACTTGACGCAGAGATGTCAGTGAGCCTTCCAAACACTCGTGTCTTTCACAACTCTTTCTACTTTAATGACCTATATACCCAGTTCTCAATAACTCCGTTTTTATTAAAATCTGGAATAATTTTCCTTACAGCATGGATTGCTTTTCCTAGCTCACTTCTCATCAGTTTATCTGACCAGACTGCCTTAACCTTCTCAATAGACCTGGTTTCTCCTCCACTAGTAAGTCTCTTGCTTTTACAGAAAAGTTCTTACATTTGCTGCCCGTTATTTATGTCCAAAGCGTGGGATTTTCCAAAAATACGGCATGCTTTCAGTTATCCACCATATATCGCTCCACACCGGTGCTTGCAGCATTGCTTCATAATGGATCATAACGATCTACTATGTAGAGCCCCCATAATTCCTATTATGATTTATCATTTTGTACGAATTGTTCCACCGGTGCTTCGTAATGTACGGTTCAATTTAACTTATTCCTTCGCAGCTAACTTGTGGCTTGTCGCATCCAGTAAGTCTTCATTTGCGGATAATTAGATGATCGATACACGTTAGAGTTGCAATTAAAACCCACCGCTTTTAGCTCTACGCGTTACACTCTATATGGACGTTTCTCAGGTTTCTTTCCTGTTGGTATGTGTTCCTGTATTTCTGGTATGTTAACAAAATTAACAGCTAAATGATATGGCCAGTAGCGTCACACATCATAGTTTCCCACTGGAAATGCGGTTTTCCGACCCACTAGAATTTTTTTAATACTATATTTGAAATTATCGTTCCAAACTATCTAAGAAGGACAAGTTGAATAGTAGTAGAGCTTCGCTTTTGGATTGAGATACATTCTGTTGATTTTCTGAAATTCTTGCGTATTTGCAATTTTTGGAAACTAGATCATGAATCTGACGTCAGCTTGGAGGAAGATACCAGCAGGCTGGTTTTTTTACTCCAAGTGAAGGATCTGGAAGCACTAGGACTTTGAAGGACAGAAATGACCTTCCAAATTCTCCCAGTTAACTGAACTTGATTCTCCTGTAAGCACGTAGTTCGGAAATGGAAGTTTTACACAAAGAGACCTTGGTTCTGCACCATAATCACCATAATGCCAAAAATATAATCATTTTATTTCTTATACCCTCAACTTGTGTCATATTCAGATTGTGTCTACCGGTATTCTTGAAATCCAGCATCTAAATATACATTCTTTTTCGTCGATACATTCTTGCGTTTGTCAAATAAGTGCCACTTTTCATGCATTCCTCTCCGTCAGGGCCCACTTCAAACCAAGTTTTTATTAGTCTGGGTATTCAGGCCTATCGGATAACGAGAGCCACGCCTTTATTTGTTTTCCGCAGATACTAACGAGCGATTTTGAAATCTCGCATGGATTTATTTCGCTATTGACATTTCGCCACAATAAGATATTCACGTATAGTCTCGTAGGTGTAAGCTTACTAAAGCTAGTTCTACATGCCACCGCCTTTATGCCTGCGTGAAATTTTGCGTACGAGAAGTACGCAGAGCATTTTGGTTTAAAAGTTATTTAATAAAAAGCGATTTTCAGTCGGGTTCCTCAGGCATTATTATTTATATTCTATAGGGCATACAACAGTTTGATATGCTAATAAGGAACACCCTGTGTGTCAGCAATATTCTTAATTAACTACCGCTACAATTACTGCATCCTGAAAGATGAAGCCTGAATTATCCCGTTTGATAAATGGCTCTGAAGCACCGATTCACTCAAGCAAGAAAGGCACGTACCAATACAACAAATACAAAATTATCGTTTCTAATGAATAAATAATATATTATGCAGGACAATTATCGGGAGACACACAAGACGCACACCGAGCAATGGAGGTAACTGTATCGTGGCAGCTAGCGTGGAAGATTAGATTGTTCATATAATTTTACGTGATTTGAATTCAGCTTCCTTGGCTGGATCGTTGCCGCTTGTTTTTCTTTTTTGTTGCACGTTCTTGCGGCCATCTGCTCGGTGAGGTCGCGGAGAAAATTGGTACCTACTATTGGTTATAGTACTGGAGCCGTGTACAGATTGTTTGATGACTGATAAATTTAAAAAAAATCATATAGTAGTTTTAGAGCTTTCCGTGTTATTGCTTTTTTTGTATACAAGTCACATCCTATATAAAAAGGATACGAGAACAATTCATATTAGACTCTATGTTTTTCGTATGGAACAATGTTTCTCTGAAAGCTCATACCAAAAGGTTGCATGGAGATCAATTGCGTTTAACCGTGTTCAAGCTATCTGGCAGAAGTTATGGCCGCCGGTAATTGTCTAGCAGTGCTAAATATTGCTTTACGGTAAGGTTTTGCAAGGTGTCTAAGTAAGTACTATTTTTAATCTTTCTAACTTGGTAAATCGACCGTCTACCCAGAAAATAAATAATGTCTCACACACCGATACAGATAAAGCAGCAGTATCTGCATGAAGTAGTAAATATATAATTTATAAACAGATGAACTAGTCAAGTTGAGAACCATCTCGTCAAGCGTAGCTTTCAAACAAAAAACTATCTTCAAATCGGTCCATCCGTTTAGTAGCTTTTACTTAGCCATAGACAAAAATGGCATTTGGCAGATTATCATTAGAATAGCGATTTAGCAATCTTCATCTTTCATCTGATATCCCATGTGGGCATATTCACTCACTTTAAGTTGCTTGTCCTCACCTGTACCACACATAACTTCAAAACAACTGAACCGAGTTTCATTGAACTTAGCTAAAAAGCGGGGGCGCTTCATCTTTACACATATGAAACTTACAACATCCCTCGATTTTGTATCGAGCCCTAAACATATATCTGGTAGCTAAAGAACTAACTGAGCCTATTCGTCATGAAAATTATA